GTACAGACCCCCAGTATCCACCAACCAAAGGGTTAAGAATACTGTCAGATGGCATCAGAGGCCTACAAGTCTTCTCCACGTGCTCTCACCTGCCTGCCCAATGTGCCAACCAATGTGTTTGAAAAATGTATTGTCTTATGGACTCCTTTGTTCTATGAAAAGCTCATGTAATTGCTAGTTCAATGGGATGTGAACATTTGCCGAAATCTGCTGTGGTGTAATCTTTTTGTGCACTATGAATATGCATTGCTCTCATTGGCTAATAAAAAGCTGTTTGGCCAATAGCTGGACAGGAATAGAGTGAGTGTGACAACCAGACTAGGAGAACTCTGGGAAGAGGAAGGGCGGAGTAAGAGTCACCGGCAAACAAAGAGAAGCAAGATGAGACTATGGTACTGAAAAAAAAGTACCAAGCCATGCCGTTAGACATAGATAAGAATTATGGGTTAATTTAAGTGTAAGAGCTAGTTAGTAACAAACCTAAGCATTCACAATATAAGCCTCTGTGTGGTAATTTGGAAGTGATTTCCAGGATGGGAAAACTCCACCTACAGAAATGTCATCCATGTTCTTACACTGTGGGCACTCATATTCAGCTCCAGAATAAACCATCTCTTGTTCCTCTGATGTGAGAGCTGTTTCTTTCATCAATATGCTCAATGTAAGTCTTTAAATGAAGATGTGCCAAAGCAAGATCATCAAACTAATGACCTATTTTTAAATGATTATATCCAATCAATTCATGTTTTCAATGCATAAAATGTAATGCAGTGACATAACCGGCCACCCACAAACAAGCACAGTTACTAAAATAATGCACAGCTCTATGGCACACTACAGATGCTGGGCCTATATTGGTACAAAAGGAAAAAAGTTCTACCCTGAAAACTTTCCAATTCCCTATCTCAGTGAAGATAAACACAGTTCTACTTAGAAATAACATTTAAAAATTATATCTGAGGCTCGTTTCAAATAAAAGGCTCATTTTTACATGTTCCTCTCACCTCACCTTAATCGACTCCATTGCAATGCAGTCATTCATTTGAGAATTAGTGTAGGCCAGATAGAGAGCCTATGCCTTTTATCCTGCCAGAAGAAGGTAGATTGCTATGAGTTAGAGGCCAGCTTGGTCTACATACAGTTGCTCAGAGGAACTCTATAAACAGCGATAAGAATGAAAAATAAGCTAGGTGGTGGTGGCACACGCCTTTAATCCCAGCACTTGGAAGGAAAAGGCAGGTGGATCTCTGAGTTCGAGGTCAGCCTGGTCTATGGAGGGAGTTCCAGGACAGCCAAGGGCTACACAGAGAAAACCTGTCTGGAAAAACCAAACGAAAAAGAAAAAGGAAAAAAAGAAGAAAAGAAGAAGAAAGAAAAGATAACATGAATTAATCTTACAAACATTAGGTTGAGCAAAAGAATGTAGGTAAAAAGAGATGCCATGTATATAAATAAGAGAAAGGGGTTAGAGTCAGTATTGTGTTGTCTTTGGAGAAAGAGGAAGAAAGAAGAGGCAGAGGACACATTTGGAGTATTGATCGTATTGTTTTGATGTGAGCATTAAAGTTGAGAATTTTTACGAAGGAACATACTTACTACTCAAGTAAACATTTAAAGTTACTGCTTCTCCATAATGTTAGAAGACAAGGCTGGAGAGGTGGCTCAGCAGTTCCAAGCATGTGCTGCTCTTCCAGAGGACTGGATTCAATTCCCAGCATCCACATGGTGGCTCAATTCATCCCTGACTCCCATCCTAGGAGGTTGATGCCATCTTCTTGCCTTTGTGGGAAACAAATATGCAGACCAAGCACCCATACACTTAAAATAAAATGACCCTCAAGGGCTGTTTAAAGAATCTTCATATAGCTATAGAGGAATTTCCCAAGATGACTGACAGCAAATATACAACCAATCACAATTCTAAGTACAAGTAAAAAACTAGAATTAATAATGTAAAGGGTACCATTAGAAATAAAGTTATTAATTACAAAGAGTTAATAAAATGTAGAATGGATAAAGCAAAGACATTTGGCTATTGGACAGAATAGAAAACCAGATCATAGATCAGTAGATGGAGATAGCTTTGACTGAAGACAAAGGTTACATATTCAATTGCCTGCGGTAAATATGCAGGAATTGAAGAAGGAGAACTAAGAACTACACATTGTCTTAGTTAAGGTTTCTATTACTATAAAGAAACACCATGACCACGGCAACTCATATAAAGGAAAAACATTTCATTCAGGCGGCTTACGTTTTCAGAGGTTTAGTTCATTATCACTATGGTGCCGCAGGGTAGCATGCAGGCAGACATGATGCTGGAGAAGTATCCTACATCTTGACTTGCAGGCAACAGGAAGTGGTCTGTCTTACTGGGTGTGACTTGAGCATCTGTGAGACTTCAAGGCCCACCTCCACCATGACACACTTCCTCCAACAAGACCACACTTCCTAAATAGTGCCACTTCGTTGGGGGTCATTTGCCTTCAAACCACCACAGGTGGAAAAAATTATATCCCTAATCACTCTATATAGAAAGAAAGAACTCTAAGTGAATCCATGAATAGGCTTTATTGTATTTTAAAATGAGGTCTCAGGCTGACCTCCAATTCATGCTCCTCCTGCCTCAGCCTCCGAAATGCTGGAATTACAGGCATGTGACTCCATATTTGGCTTCCATGAGGCATTACATTATTGAGGATACAGGTGAAAGACATGTTTACTGCTACACTATGAACAACAGCCGAGATAAAAAAAAAAAACAAAAACAAACAAACAAAAAAACAGACTAAATTCCTCTTAACAGATGAATGGAGAAAGAAAATGGGGGTGATACACACACACACACACACACACACACACACATACACACGAGTCTTATTCAGATGTAAAGAAGAATAAAGCTACAGTATTTGCAGGGACATAAATGGTACTGGAGATTATATTAAGTAACATAAACCAGAATCAGAAAGACAACTATCACAAGTTTTCTCTCATATATGGAATATATAATAAGGAAGTAGATAGGAGCTAAAGGAAGGGGACAAGAGAAGGTTATAAGGAAAAAAGGAAATATTGCACATTTCCTTTCATATGCAGAGTCTAGATGTGGTTGTGTATCTGTGCGCATGTCATGAAAGCATAAGTGGGGAGGAAGGGGGCCAACAAGAGGTGGGAGAGGTCAGGGCAGTGGTGGCACACACCTTTGATCCCAGCACTTGGGAGACAGAGGCAGGTAGAGCTCTGAGTTCGAGGCCAACCTGGCCTACAGGGTGAGCTCCAGGACAGTCAGGGCTACGCAGAGAAACCCTGTCTTGGAAAAACCAAAAGCCAAAAACGAGGAAAAAAAAAAGAAAGAAAGAAAAAGAAAAGAAAGAAAAAAAAGATGGGAGAGGAAAGAGTAGTTAGAGCAAAAATTAGTAAGGTACAATGGCATGCATATGAAATAGCATAATGGACCTATTGTTTTATATGCTAACAAAAATTAATTTGATGAATTAATTTGAAGACGTAGGTGATTCTTTTTTTCTTTGAGACAGGGTTACTCTGTGTAGTCCTGGCTTTTCCAAAACTCCTTCTGTAGACCAGGCTGGCCTCTGCTTCCTGAGTACTGGGATTAAGGGTGTGTGACATTACTGTAGGCCCAGCATATTTTAAAGAGGTTATGGGTTTTTTGTTTGTTTGTTTGTTTCTCTTTGTTTTGAGACAGGGTTTCTCTGTGTAGCTTTGTAGGCTGTCCTGGAATTTGCTCTGTAGACCAGGATGGCCTCAAACTCACAAGAGATCTGCTAGCTTCTGCCTCCCTAGTGTTGGGATTAAATGCATGCGTCACCACCGCGAGGCAGGAATTTTTTTCTTTTTAAATAAGACACAAACTGCTAGAGTTCAAAAAGTGTTGAATATGATCCCATTAAAATTAACTTTTATCAAAAACCTTTAAAAATTACACTAAAATATGTTAAACCTCAAATGTCCACAGTCAGAACCAGAAACGTATTTTAGATTCATCATTTAGTTTTATATATAACGAGAAATTAATACAGAGATGAGCAGAGAACTAAAGGAGATTAATAAAAACAAATGAGTCTTTTGAGAATTTTACTAAGACTTGTGTTTTCAGCAAGATTGATCAATAGAAATGCAAATATAGATTGAAAGAGAAAAAAACTCGCATAATAGGGTTAAGTATAACCTGGGAAAATTACAACAGCAAGACCATTTTTTTACTGAGATGGAAGTGCACTCACGGAGCTATATTAAACAACGTGCATTGTACAATGTAAGAGCTCCCACGGTACTCTGCCCAGAAAAGTCTCTCTAGAAATAACGAGATGGGATCTTAAGGAAATGTATTCCCTCAACCATTTATTCAAAAACTACACTTATCAGACTTTATCTGATGCCTGCCACTGGGACAGATGGGACTCCTGAGTAGGAAGAACACGGACGACAGGCTGGAGAGCTACTTGAGAGTCAAGGGAAGGATAGAAGCAAGGGCACTTCATAACATTTTCCTTTTAGAGACTTACAGACTTGCCCAATGATAGTAATTAGCAAATGCTCGCTTCAAAGTCTGTAAAGTTTGTGCTCTGCCTAAACGACAGAAGGAAAAGTTAAAAACGAGAAGGGCCCAGGTCACCTATGGGACGTCAGTAGAGATTGAAACACAGGTCTAAGCACTCTAGGCTAAACGTGTCGTAGCGCCCCTGTTTTCTTTTAGGTGCCTGTGTCGGAGGACCGGGGGGGGGGGGGGGCTTCTCTGTCATTGACTTTTGCTTCCACAGCAACGCTCCATCTAATTTTTCGCGGGACTTTCCTACGTGAGGCTAGAGAACGCGCCATCTACGGAAACCACACTACGAATCCGAGGCTCCACGCGTTCCGGCCCGCACAGCTTCCGCCGCGTCCGCGTCCGTACAACCGTACGACATGGCGGCGTCCTCTCCGGCACGCCTCTTCCTCTGACACACTTCCTGTCCTGCGCAGTCCTACTTGACCTTTGCCCTCGCCCTCCCCTTCCTTTTTCTCTTCCGGGGACGGTGCTTAGAGGTATGGTGGCTTGTTTCTTCTCCGAGTTTCCCCTGTTTACAATCCGCCGCCATCGGAGGACTTAGGCGGGCGGGACGTCCTGGGGGACAGTGCTACAGCTGGCCTGAGGGTGAGGGGCGAGGAGTGACTTGTGGCGGGCTCGTCCTTGGCTCGTAGCCGGACACGGAGAGCGAGCGGCTCGGGTCTTGGTAGTAAAGCGCTCAGCCACAGCGAAGCCTTCGGGTAGGCGGCTGCCCCCCGGTTCACGTTTGTCCAGATAGCGAGCGAGACGCGGTAGCAGGGACGGTGGCGGCGGCAGCAGCCTTGGTGATGAAGACAGAACTCAGATAGCGGCGGTTTACACTGAGTTTCTGTGCGGGTTTAGGGGCCGGACGATTGGGTCCCTTTAAGTAATGTCGGAAGACAGCGTAGCTTGGCTGATTTCGGCAGGCCGATGCCTATGTTCCTTGGGGTAGCTCATTTTAGCACGAGCTTGGGCTGCTGCTGCTGGTTAGAGGGTCGTTTATATGCCGGGAACAGCTCGGAAACGGGGCCCACTGATACACTCCTCGGGGATGCTGCTTTGGAACAGGACCTAGGTTTCCCAACAGCATGTGCCAGTACCAAAAAGGGTGAGATGGTCGATGTCTTAATCCAAATGGTTTGCTGTATAAACTAGGGGGAAATACTGTCTTAGAAGAAGCTAGCAGCTGGCTCTGTATTGCCAGCAAATGGCATTGCCAAAGATTCATCTCACCCTGTAAAGTTTCTCCAACTTTCCTGGTTAATATTTTGATTTTGTCTAGACACCAAAGAAAACAGACTCCTTGAGGAATGGGCCCATAATCAGGGCTTTAGCCAACTCTGTACTTGACTACCAGTAGGAAAGCCCTTGGTTGGTGATCCCTAAATGGATATAGTTTCTAAATGTGACATTCTTTAGTATGCATGAATATGTAAGTACGTAAGATTTGGTGATGCTTTCTAGTTGGACTTACAGTGAAAGGTGATTTTTTTTTTTTTAATTTTAGGCACTCAGAATGGTCCAGCGTTTGACTTACCGTCGTAGGCTTTCCTACAACACAGCCTCCAACAAAACTAGGCTGTACGTATTTTCTTCCAAATTTAAAATATCTCTTGTCGCCTACTCTGTGACACTGAGCTGCTCACACCCTTCCTTCCTAGGTCCCGAACTCCCGGCAACAGGATTGTTTACCTTTACACCAAGAAGGTTGGGAAAGCACCTAAATCAGCATGCGGTGTGTGCCCAGGCCGACTCCGAGGGGTGAGTGCCCTTCTGAGAGTTTAATGCCTTGGCGGGGAAGTGACTGCAGGCAGCGAACTACTGAGATGACTGGGAATTGTTAAATATCTGGGTCCACACCTGCTGAGGACGTAGATCATTTTCTTAAATAACCAATGTGAGAAGTAACTGAAGTGCTTTTCGGAAGAAGCAGTGGTCTGTTCCCTCTGTAGCCTAGTTTCCCAGTTGTGGTTCCTGCTAGGAAGTGTCCGTTTTTGCTTGAGCACCGCAGAGTAATTGCAGTCATTTCATTACCCAGGTTCGTGCTGTGAGACCAAAAGTCCTCATGAGATTGTCTAAGACAAAGAAGCATGTCAGCCGGGCCTATGGTGGCTCCATGTGTGCCAAGTGTGTCCGTGACAGGTGAGTGGGATGTCTGAGACGCTGTGTGTTTCTGTTGTACTGCCTGCCAGCCAATAGATAGGTGTTGGAGGAAACACCGATGCTCGGGTTGTGTCAGAATGTGGGGGGCATCTTTAAAATAGCTTTGGTTTTTAGAGAAAAGCCAGGAAAGAAATGGTGAATTTGTGTTTGATAGTAGGCAGCTGGGGAGGAGGAGACGGAACAGGTGAATAAAGCAAACCTAAGACTCATTTAATAAACCAAAAACAGGCTACAGCAGAGTAAATGGTAAAACCATTCATGTAGGAAGATGAGGGTTTTTACAGGGGAAGAGGAAATGTGCTTGCCTTGCTGCCTGATGCTGGCCGGGAAGGGGAGATGACTAAGTCTTGGTTATTAGAATGACTCTTGAGTGAGGGTGGTTGTAGAGCGATAATTGCTGAGCACCAGCAAACATCCATGTGCACCTGGATGAATTTTCTGGGTGGTTTTTGGTGAAGAAACCAGCACTTAGGTTCAAGTTCAGGTGACTGGAAAGGGGCAGTGCAATGAGTATCTATGGAAAGACAGAAAATTGGTGAGGGGGATTAAAGGGTGGGTGGAGTTTGGACTCTGATTTATTTGGGTGGTTTTACAAAATGCCCTAGCCAAGTGCTTAGATCAGATTTTCTTGACAACAATCTGCCTGCCCTGTTTTTGGAAAAAAATCATTAGGGAGTGAAGCCTACGTTAATACAAACACAGGACAAGTATTCTGGGAAACCGGCAACCTGAACTTTATATGTAAAGTTTAAAAGAGAAATTTCATGTAATTGAAGAAACTGGGGTGGCATTTGAGGCCAAAACTGAAGTACAGAAACAGGATATTCAAGACCGCTGCTGTTGGACCTGGTACCGAAAGGAGACGGTGGCCTTGGCTCTGTTCTTTACCCAAGTTCTAGTTTTTAGCAGCTAGCTGGTTTTTATGGGAAACATTCTAGTACCCAGGACCACCACCTCAGGGTTGGCACTGCCTCAAACATTCTTGATTGAGCTTCCCTCTTACTGGGAATAAGTTGTGTGTGATTTGGCTAAAACTAGCCAACACCGCCCATTTTATTTATAATTATCGTGAAGCGTGCAAGAGTAGGAATTGGAATTGCCATCTGTAAATGCCCATGTAAAATCAAGCTGTGGATGTTTGTACATTTCCCTAGGCTCTTGCTTTGCTCCATCTTATAATGATAATTTTCCAGTGTTCAATTGATGATCGAGGTTTGTTTTTCTTCATAGGATCAAGCGGGCTTTCCTTATTGAGGAGCAGAAAATTGTTGTGAAAGTGTTGAAGGCACAAGCACAGAGCCAGAAAGCAAAATAAACATGCAGCTTTTTAATAAAGGTCAAGGCTTTGTCCGTGCTTCTGTTCCGTGTGATTTGTTTAGTGGGGAAGGACTAATTTATGCTTGGGTGCTTTAAGGGAAACCATGCCATGGTTACTAGACTCTTGGGTAGTGCTAGTCATTGGGAGTGGCTTGAGAATCGTCAGTCTCACTGCCACTTAGACCGTTTCATGTTATCTCTTACCCCACCAAACCAGAAACCACCTCCAGGTGTAGGCTATTTGGAATGAAGTCCTTTAAAACTGTACTTAAATCCTCTATTGTGTTTTTTTTTTTTTAAAGTTCTGTATGGGGAGTTTGAACACCCACTTCTGCAAAAACCCTGAGTAAATCTCAGATTTCTGGTTTTGTTGAATTTATAGTTGAGGTTGATACATTAAAATACAAGTTGCTTGTGCTGATTTGAACAAGTTCTTGAGGCTCTTAAATGCTGAGAGAACTAGCGTGGTCCAGGAGCCATACAAATCCCCTTTAGACTTCATGTATTTCTTTTGTGTTGCCTCTTGCCCCAGTTTTAGCCATTGCCTCATTAACTGGTGAGGTAACAACATATATGTGTACAGAGGGGTTTTTCATGGTAATTTACAGTACAGAACAGATCTGCCACTGGAGAGATGGTTACCATTTATGGACAGTTGCTGTTCTTGAAGAGTTACTTAGTTCCCAGCACCCTCCTGGGAACTTAGAACTGCATCTGAGGTCCCAGTGACTGTCATCCTCTCCTAGCTTCCTTCTGATGGCTTTGCGTGCATGGGCTGCAGTTAGGAGCATCACTGGGTGGTGGTGGCATACGCCTTTAATCCCAGCACCTGGAAGGCAAAGGCAAGTATATCTGAGTTCAAGGACTACCGGGGCCATGCACAGAGACCCTGTCTCAAACCCGATCCAAAAGATATTTTTTTTAGTTGAAATAAAATTACATAACTTTCCTCCAGTTCCTCAAATTGATAGCCTCTAAATAAAAGGGCAGGACTGAGCTAGACAATGGTGGCACACACTTTTAATCCCAGCACTCAGGAGGCAGATGGGTGGATCTTTTGAGGCCAGCCTGGTCTAAAAGCTAGTTGCAGGACAACAAGGGCTGTTACACAGAGACCCTGTCTCAAACCAGCACCCAAAAAGAAAGCAGGGCTGCAGAGATGAATGTTGATGTTTCAGAGGACCCGGGTTCTGTGCCCTTGTTCTTGGTGAGGTAAAGCTAATTGGCAGTTTGCAGAACGTTACTGGGATCCCAGGAAGCTGACATTTGAACAGTCTAAGTAAGGTGAGAACCCTTGGCTGTTTCTCCTTGCTGACAGATACCACCGTTTTGCCTAACACGTTTATTTTCACCATTTCAGATGATGGAAATATAAATACCTTTGCTGGAGTATTTGGAGATGTCTTATTTAAAATGTGATGGGCTGTGTATACATTCCCACACAGGCACTGATGAGTTTTAAGGACAGTCTGAGTTACATAGCAAGAACTGTCTCAAACGGTCTGGATCTGAGTGCCTTGAATGATAAGATAGCAGAGGGTTCATTACTACCAATGTTACAGATCCATCAGATGCCCCAAGTACCGGTTCTCAGAGCAGTTACCGTGTGTCAGAACTAGAACATTTCATGGTTTGAGAGTTGGCTTAGAAAATAAACCAACTCAGGCCTAGCACTAGTAAAAGCCAGACAAGGTGATGTTCTGTAGCCCTAATAGTAGATGCCGGAGGGCATGCGTAATAGTGGAGAAGATGCCAGAGGCTTATGGCCAAGCCAGCATAGCTAAAAGATGCTCCACATTTATAGTAAGTGATCCTGTCTCCTATGGTGGACAACAGCAGGGTAATAACTCAGTATTGAAAGTGCACACAATTTAATAATTTAAATGAGAATCAATAGCCTTGGTCTCAGCCTAACTCCTTGACATTAGTGGGTTGGACTGCACCAAAGTGCTTTGCAGTCCTACGGCATTGGCATTAGTGTCTTAACACAGCACTTTGTAATGGGTTAAATTTTGAAAACTTAAAGTTGATCACTTGTTCATTGATCTACAGGATAGTTTTTAAAAAAGATTGACACCCAAAGTTCATAAACACTAGAAAGGAAACCCTCAGTTTGCTTACTGTCCAGGACCCATTATTCCATGTTAGGTTGAGCAACGTGACTGAACACAGGCTTTTTAAAAATTTATTTTAATAAGTTTGTTGGGGCAGGACTACATACATGATTTAGGTGCCCTCAGAGGCCAGAAGCATTGGAGTTACGAGGTGGGTGCTGGAAACCAAACTGAGCAGTACCATCTCTTAACCTAGTGGATCCTGTCAAGGTCCAGCCAAATAAATAAATGGGTTAACAGCTTTGAGAAAGTTACTGCATTAAAACATAGTTTACAAGCAATTCGCTTCACCTTTTCTAAATTACAAGTATTTATACTTCAAAACATCTTTGTAGACAATTTGGAAAGTATGGGGAAAAAAAGACATCTTTCTTGAGACAGGGTCGTTTTGCCCTGCCTATCCTGGACCTCTCACCTGTAGACCAAGCTGGCCTTGAACTCACAGAGATCCACCTGCCTCTGCCTCCTAAGTGCTGGGATTAAAGGCATGCGCCATCATGCCCCTGGCTCTGGAAATAAATAAATAAATACCCTCTTATTTTAGTACTTAGAATATTAATAGTGGATTTTTTACCCTTTGTAAGGCAAACAGGATAATAAAAATTGAAAGCATAGTATGTGTGTAAATTTTCAGTTCTTTTCCACACAGAACTCAGATAACTGTTGAAATGCATGTTAGTGTCTTGGTATGGCCATAATTTAAATATTCCTTTTAGAAAATTCAAGCTAGTTGAAGTTTTCTCTTAAAATCTGAATATTCATACATATTTAACTTTCTCACTTGAGATATCATACATAAGATATTGTGGTGTAAATGTAGTACTATGCTATCTAAGTCACCCAAGTGGATTTTGTAACTGTTGTTTCAATTTGGCGGGGGTGGAGAAGTGGGGGTGGGAAATCAAGTTTTTATTGAATCCAGTTCTGCGTGTGACAAAGCAGTCTTGACAGGCCCCTAAGAGGACATGTGAATGTAGTCAGTGGTTTTCTTTTCAAAGTCTAGTATTTCTCCTTCCGTTGAATTGCTTATAAATTCCATCAGAAGGTTGAGGGGGTCTTTTACCCTTAAAAGCAGAGAAGTCTCCATCTGCTTACACAAATCAAGGTTGTTTTCAGCAGCTAAATATTAATAACATGCCGCTTTCAGCCTACTGATGAGCTTGACAATGGCTAACTGCAAGAGCAGCTGCGCTTTCCAACCGTGGGTTACGATGGCGCTTAATCCTGAACGTTAGGTTTTCTCTAGTGTGCATCGCTTGGTCACTATTGTATGACGATTGGCGTCATCACTGTCACATCTTGGCTTGTGAAAGCTGTTGTGTGTCTCTGTCTCCGCAGCTGTGAAATGGCAGTGTGAGTCTGTAGACCTGGACAATGGCACGGCCCACGGCCCTGGAGAGCGGGGTGGTGAGCATGGCACACCCCGCTGTCACCGGGTCTGTTACCAGTTTACAGAGGATGCGCTTGGATGCTCTGTTTCTTTGGGACTTACTTGAAAAATATATGCCCTTTTAAAAGGTGTAAATAGTTATTAATAACTTGATTCTGTAAATCTCTAGGTTTTGTTTTTTTTTCTGGTTTTTTTTTTGAGGGGGAAGGGCTATTTTGTTTTGTTGAGACAGGGTCTCACTATATAGCCCTGGCTATTCCCAAACTCAATATGTAGACCAGGCTGACCTCAAACTCACAGAGATCATCCTTCATCTGCCCCCTAAGCCCTGGGATTAAAGGTGTGCACCACCATGCCTGGCTAATTTTGAAAAATCCCAAATCATTTCTTGAATCTAAATGTGTCTAAATGTTGGGGACAATAAGTCTCAGTTCTCTTCAAACAATAAAAATTCAGTGTGGTGTTTGTTTTGTAAGTCAGGAATAGAAAAGTTTACGTTGTCATGAGTTTTTAATTCTTATTTGGTTTGGGCTGCTGGAAGAAGTTACCATATACTGGGTAATTTAAACAACAAACATTTGCTTCTCAAAGTTGAGGCTAAGAAGTCCAGGGTGGTAGCAGATTCAGCATCTAGGAACACTTTCTTCCTGGCTGGGTAATGGCTGTCTTTTCGCCTTCTCTGTAGTCAGAGGCTCTTCCAGTCTCTGTGACCCAGGTTCTCCCCATAGCCCCAGATCCTGACCATCCCTTCAGAAGTTTATTGAACACACACATTGAGGACACATAGGTACCTCAGCCTGTAATGCTTCCTGAGTTAAGATTTACAATACTAAAGCCGGGCAGAGGTGGTGTACGCCTTTAATCCCAGCACTCAGGAGGCAGAGGTAGCTGGATCTCTGAGTTCGAGGCCAGCCTGGTCTACAAAGAGAGTTTCAGGACAGCCAGGACTGTTAAGAAAAACACGAGAAAAAAATAAAAAAGATTTATAATATTGAATCAAAAACTGCTTCTGGTCTTCCCAAATCCAAGCTGCCAATCATAGCAGGCTTTCTTGTGTTATTCTGGTGAGCATGAAGGATTATACAAATGGTTCCCACGTTGTAACTGGCCTTGGTGCTCTCATCCAGCTGACACCTAATAACTGCTAAGTGCTGTTGGGTAAATACTAATACAGTAGCTGGTAGCATGTTAAATGTAGTATGCAGCTCTCCCTTGCTCTTGCTCTCTCTCTCACACACGTGCAGGAATGAAGGGAAAGCTCTGTTATGTAACCAAGGAGTTTAATGGACAGGTAAACTAGGCTTTTCTAAGGAATTGATATGTAAGTTCACGGTAAGAATAAGTAGTTGTTAGCTGTGAGCAGAACATCCAGACAAAGGAACTGACCTAGGCAAATACCAGGACTCAAACAGCTTGCATAGAGATACAGTTAATTCAGTGCAATGCTATTCTTTCCGTGTTTACAGCCCCACGCCTGAAATGTGTGAACATTCCCAGTTACTAAGAAGAAACATGCCTGTCGCCATACGGAGT